AAAAAAAATTAGTAGTAGTGGTGGTGGTGGCAGTAGTAGTAATAGTATGGTGTTCGTTTTATGATTTTTTTTCAGTGAGAAACAGTTGTGACCTTTCTGGAATATGAAGCAGCTTAATCAGATATGTTGGACTTCTTTTCGAGAAGGAAAGTTAGTAATCTACTCATTTATTTTATACTTATACTGTGTATTTTCTGTTTCATGATGTTCGGGGTTGCAAAGCTGTATCGTCGAAGAAGAAGCAGACTAATAATACATGTTGGACTTCTTTTTGAGAAGGAAAGTTAGTAATCTACTCATTTATTTTATACTTATACTGTGTATTTTCTGTTTCATGATGTTTGGGGTTGCAAAGCTGTATCGTCGAAGAAGAAGCAGACTAATAATACATGTTGGACTTCTTTTTGAGAAGGAAAGTTAGTAATCTACTCATTTATTTTATACTTATATACTGTGTATTTTCTGTTTCATGACGTTTGGGGTTGCAAAGCTGTATCGTCGAAGAAGAAGCAGACTAATAATACATGTTGGACTTCTTTTTGAGAAGGAAAGTTAGTAATCTACTCATTTATTTTATACTTATACTGTGTATTTTCTGTTTCATGACGTTTGGGGTTGCCAAGCTGTATCGTCGAAGAAGAAGCAGACTAATAATATATGTTGGACTTCTTTTTGAGAAGGAAAGTTAGTACTCTACTCATTTATTTTATACTTGCCGCGTTTGAGAATCCATATCGGATGCATTTTTTACATCTCAAGCGTTTTTTATCCACATCGGACACATCTGTTCCATTACATTTATGTATACTGAATGACATGATCAAAGATTTATTACATCTCAGATGCATTCGATGTGGATTCTCAAACGCGACATATACTGTGTATTTTCTGTTTCATGACGTTGGGGGATTGCAAACCTGTATCGTAGATGTTGGACTTATTAAAAAATAAAGTATTCCTCGGACTTATAATTTTTTATTAATCCATTTATTTTAATGAGATTGTACTTATACTGTCTTTCTTTTTTCACAGCTCAAGTTTTTCACAAAATGATGGACAGTGTTGTATCCTGGAATATGTAGCAGCCATCCAGCTACTTCATACATAATACAATTTTCATATACATTACATTTTTTAAATATTGGATTTGTATTATATATATTCTTTAATAAATTTATTTTTTGAATATTCTTGTTTTTTTTATCTAAAAACTGTTAGTCAAATTAAGATTTGTTCACACAAACTGCATTTTTGCTTTATTATAGCGATATTCGCTATAATAAAGCAAAAATGTAATTTGTGTGAACAAATCTTAATTTGGCTAACAGTTTTTAATGCGGATAATTTTTACTGTCAAATTTGAATAGTCCCGCGCTTTTCTTCTCTTCTTCTTTTTATTATTTTCTCTTCTTTCATATGGCCTCTTACTGGACAAGGACTTAATTGAAAAAAATCAACCACGTCCACCAGGTGCCGCTAAAAACTCTATCATCCTTTTTTAACATGGGAGTTACCGTTCTAAGAGTAAGTGTTCTGTGAGAACCACCTAGAACATTTGCTACGTTTGAGAATCCACATCGGATGCATCTGAGATGTAAAAAATCTTTGATCACGTGATTCAGTATACGTAAATGTAATGGGACAGATGTGTCCGATGTGGATAAAAAAACGCTCGAGATGTAAAAAATGCATCCGATGTGGATTCTCAAACGCAGCATTTAGATGCGTTGTAACTGAACTTCGATTTTAGTTCAAGGACGACTTACCCAAGTCCGACTCAGGTAAGTTCTGTTTATAAATACGGGCCTTATTGAAGCTGTTAAATACCAAGGACCGATTCCATCGTTGTGTTAAACGAAGTTTAAAATTACTTTTTTACATTAACAATGTCATTTTAATCTCCGTTTAATACAACGGTGGAATCGACCCTAAGGGTCTATTTATATACTCCCTTATTATTAGTATTTGCATTAGTATTATGATTAAGCATTAAGTTGAACCTTCACAATGTAATGGGGACATTTAGGGTCTATTTATACTCCCTTATTATTAGTATTTGCATTAGTATTATGATTAAGCATTAAGTTGAACCTTCACAATGTAATGGGGACATTTATACTCGATTTATGATTAGTATTAGCATTAATATTTATGCTTAATAATTGACAGGTTCAACTTTTAAATTAAATATTAAATTTCTTCTTTTCTATAAAATGAATCAATAACGTATTTGGCCTTTGTTTTTAATAGACAAAGGATAGGGATAATTGACAATACACATATGATTATGTTGTTTATATGTTTGTTCCAACAAGCTCGAAAACGATAATATTTTGGTACAAATCATGCGTTGTATACAATTTTTGTGTATATCAGCAGTGTTTACCGATTATAAAGTTGACAAATGACATGTCACCACGAGGAAGCAAAGGCCTCTTTTCTGTCTGATTTGTATCAAATTTCTGCTTCTTTTTATCTGTTATAAATTTGAGACTGAAATCCGTTAAAATGTCCTTAATTAAACCTATTTTTGAATAATAATATTTTTAAATAAAATTAACTAGTAAAAATATTAATAAAAACACATTTGAAACTCAAATATCTTAAAAGAACGCAACTCTGGCCTCTTACATATTTCTTCAGTAACCATATATTTTGTTGACTGCAGAATTATATCTTATTAGGTATTAGGTTTAAAAAAGAATTACTAATACTAATTATAAAACGAGTATAAATACCTTTTTTGAATGATTTAACAAATTTAATGCTTAATCATAATACTAATACAAATACTAATACTAAGGGAGTATAAATAGACCCTTATACTCGATTTATGATTAGTATTAGCATTAATATTTATGCTTAATAATTGACAGATTCAACTTTTAAATTAAACATTAAATTTCTTCTTTTCTATAAATAATCAATTGCGTATTTGGCCTTTGTTTTTAATAGACAACGGATAAGGATAATTGACAATACACATATGATTATGTTGTTTATATGTTTGTTCCAACAAGCTCGAAAATGATAGTATTTCGGTACAAATCATGCTCTGTATACAATTTTTGTGTATCAGCAGTGTTCACCGATTATAAAGTTGACAAATGACATGTCACCACGAGGAAGAAAAGGCCTCTTTTCTGTCTGATTTGTATCAAATTTCTGCTTCTTTTTATTTGTTATAAATTTGAGTTTTAAATCCGTTAAAATGTCCTTAATTAAACCTATTTTTGAATAATAATATTTTTAAATAAAACTAACTAGTAAAAATATTAATAGGAACACATTTAAAACTCAAATATCTTAAAAGAACACAACCGGCCTCTTACACATTTCTTCAGTAACCATATATTTTGTTGACTGCAGAATTATATCTTATTAGGTATTATGTTTAAAAAAGAATTACTAATACTAATTATAAAACGAGTATAAATACCTTTTTTGAATGATTTAACAAATTTAATGCTTAATCATAATACTAATACAAATACTAATACTAAGGGAGTATAAATAGACCCTTATACTCGATTTATGATTAGTATTAGCATTAATATTTATGCTTAATAATTGACAGATTCAACTTTTAAATTAAACATTAAATTTCTTCTTTTCTATAAATAATCAATTGCGTATTTGGCCTTTGTTTTTAATAGACAACGGATAAGGATAATTGACAATACACATATGATTATGTTGTTTATATGTTTGTTCCAACAAGCTCGAAAATGATAGTATTTCGGTACAAATCATGCTCTGTATACAATTTTTGTGTATCAGCAGTGTTCACCGATTATAAAGTTGACAAATGACATGTCACCACGAGGAAGAAAAGGCCTCTTTTCTGTCTGATTTGTATCAAATTTCTGCTTCTTTTTATTTGTTATAAATTTGAGTTTTAAATCCGTTAAAATGTCCTTAATTAAACCTATTTTTGAATAATAATATTTTTAAATAAAACTAACTAGTAAAAATATTAATAGGAACACATTTAAAACTCAAATATCTTAAAAGAACACAACCGGCCTCTTACACATTTCTTCAGTAACCATATATTTTGTTGACTGCAGAATTATATCTTATTAGGTATTATGTTTAAAAAAGAATTACTAATACTAATTATAAAACGAGTATAAATACCTTTTTTGAATGATTTAACAAATTTAATGCTTAATCATAATACTAATACAAATACTAATACTAAGGGAGTATAAATAGACCCTAAGTTATTTGTCTTGTAGTCGGTATATACTACTTTTTAAACTAATCCTCGAAGAGTTTTCGACATATTTTTAAAGCATTTAAATAAATTTTAAGGTATTTTTCGCGGGATAAACCAAATGTTATTTATACGTCTACAGACGTATATAAACATCTAAATAGCATAATCTATAATAAATGTTTTATGCCGGGAAAAATACTTTTTTTGTCCATTATGGAAATGTTTATTTGCGTTTGTAGGAGACACCGTTTGTGGCAGAAGCAGAAGAATCAGAAGTTTTCCGCGCTCCCTAGTGATCGAATATTGAAATGATTTGAATTTTCCGTTGCTTGATGTTGACTTTTTGTAAAAGTTCGTTACATATAATTACATCAACGTTTTATTATTATAGTTGTTTTTGTAAGTACCTATTTTATTTTATATGTATTAAATTTTTCGTAATATTGTTAAAAATATATTATTCATTTATTTGTTAGGTTCATGCTCATATAAGAATTAGCTTATTCAATACTCGTGAACATTAACATGTACTACATTACCGATTAAAATATGAAATAAATTCATCATATAAATGTATAAATACATGTTAAATCCGATAATATGCATTATAAAATGATATTAATTGACTTTTTCCATTATAATGAGTTTTAATGGCCGCCCTTTTCAAATAAAGTACAAATTATTACTTTTGTGGTTAAAAGATTAATTCTACATAAAACTTTAATTTAATTTAATCGTTATTTAACAATTTTTGAATTAGAATTTCAGGTGAACCAAAATGACGAACCGGAGTTCAACCATGGACGACTTCTTGAAGATCGAAAAAATTGGAGAAGGCACATACGGTGTGGTATATAAAGGAAAGAATAAGAAGACTGGAGAACTAGTGGCTATGAAGAAAATCAGGTAGTTTTTCTTTCCCTTTTCAGGAAAGTTCATATTACCTAGTTAATTGCTTTCTGCCTTCCAGACTTGAATCTGAAGATGAAGGTGTTCCTTCAACAGCTATTAGGGAAATTTCACTTCTGAAAGAACTGAGACATCCAAACATTGTTTCTTTAGAAGATGTTATGATGGAAGAACAAAGGTAAAGCATGATTCAATTATAAAAATTTTCTGGTTATTTATTATTTCACTTTTGTTATTTCCAATTTTGAAAACAAAATAAATAAACAGAAACCTATAGAAATAAGCTACATTTACCTTGTAGACTGTACTTAATATTTGAGTTCCTTACAATGGATCTAAAGAAGTATCTAGATAAAATTGAAACGGGTACGTATATGGATCCAAAACTAGTAAAGAGTTATCTATACCAAATGAATGAGGCTATACTGTTTTGTCATCAAAGAAGAGTGCTTCACAGAGACTTGAAGCCGCAAAATTTACTGATTACTATGGATGGCAAGATGAAGGTAAACTTGTTTTATTTTTCATGTTTTTTTCACTTTGTTCTACTAGCATTGATGTTCTGAATGGTGTACAGAAGTATTTTGTCCTTTTAGGTTGCAGACTTTGGTTTAGGGCGTGCATTTGGAGTCCCAGTAAGGGTTTACACTCATGAGGTTGTCACCCTGTGGTACAGAGCTCCAGAAGTACTTTTAGGTTCTGATAGGTACTCTTGTCCAATTGATATATGGTCGGTGGGTTGTATATTTGCAGAAATGGCCACCAAACGACCTTTATTCCAAGGAGATTCAGAGATTGATCAAATATTTAGGATATTCAGGTAGATTGCTAAATTTTTGTGGTATAATTAGATCTGTCTAAGGTTTGGATAGTTTTATAAGAAGAGTTATTTTTTGTAGGATCTTAAGGACTCCAACTGACGATATTTGGCCTGGTGTGTCATCTCTTCAAAATTATAAAGCCACATTTCCAAATTGGACAAATTTCAATCTGGCCAGTCAAGTCAAGAACTTGGATGATGATGGTAAAGATCTGTTACAACAAATGCTGGTATACAATCCAGCTAAAAGGATTTCAGCCAAGAAAATAGCTGTCCATTCTTATTTCCACGATCTGGATCTTACAGTGAAGCCTGTGTTTACAGAAAAAGATAAAAAATAATTAAGCATTTTTTAAAATTTATTGGGAACAGTAGTTTTATTTATTCATCCCTTTAATGGGTAATAGTTACATGAATGTTTTGTGTTAATAATTTAATCTTTAATTTTTCTGATCAATGATTTATAGAATATTATTTGTCCTATATTATGTATTATCTCTTATAATAAATTGTTATGAAATGCCTACCCTATTGGTGTACGATGTCTTATCTGCATCTCATTCTCTTAAGGTTCTCCATAAACCCTGCCAAATGGCTTGTCTATGTCAATTAAACTTTTTTATCGATAACAATTGCTCATCATTTAGATATACAGGGGTATCTGTATTAATAGGCATTTTTAAGAAAGAGTATTTTTGCTCATTTGAGGAAAGTTCAAATATTAACCAGTTTCATACTTGTATGTATATGGTGCCCAACATACATTTTATTATTTTTAAAATTTCCTACACTACCAAAATTCGATATATTTCTCATTTGCATTAAGTGGCCGAACTAGAAAGGTATATTTCAAGTAGCAATTTAGTTCTATTTCTTTTCTGACTACCCTTTATAAAATTAAATCCATTGTAGAAAATGGGCTGTTAATTATGATCTAGTTTAAGAGTCAAATTATTTCAAACTGCTGTTTCTTCTGACCTACCTTTGAGCTATCAAGAATTTGCAACCTATATAATGATTGCAAGTATGCTATACTAGTGTGACTTAATTTGTGTTTCAAATTCTATCATTGAAATTGATGGATAAGTTTTTTTAATATTGTTGGAAGGTAGTAAAAAAAGTTATGTAAGTAACCTAATTGTTTTTAATGTTTAAATGAATACAATCTTGAAAATAATGAAAATTAAATGCTATAACCTCTATTTTTATAAGTACTGTCATTTATCATTGGAACTCAAATTACGTCTTTAGTAATATAGCATGTATTTCTAGTTTCTCATCTGACTGCAAAAAGCACTTCGTGTTTATTGCTTACTATTTGTAGTTGGTACATGGGAGGGGCGGATGAACAACTTGCACTGTCCCGGTGGTGGGAGTGGTCATGTGACCTGTGAAATTCAAAGTAAAATTACTTATTGATGGATTTTTCGATTTTTGCTGGCAATTAAATATATATTTAATAATATCTTTTTTAAATAAATTATTACATTACATTTGTACCAAGAAGGCGAAGATTAGCTGAAGCTACTCTTTAATGCTTAACCTTCTTGGTTTTCAAAAGAAAAGAATATGTAGAAAAATTAATTCTTTTGTCCATTTCTACCTACTTTTTTTTTATTTATTTAAAGAGTTGTTAGGCAATTGAGTGAAAAATATAAAATAGCATTTTAATTAAAAGTTCAGAAAACATTTATTTATTGCCTGTTAAGGAGAATATTTTTAGTAGTATAACGAAAATTGTTGATTGAAGAAAGAGACATAAGATGTTGAAACAAATTATAAAACTTAACTAAATTATAGGTAAAAGGACGCTCAAACAGTGCAGTAGAATGGTGTGGCATGGTAAGAGTATTGAATTGGATATTACAATTGAATGCTATGTTGAAACAACGTTGTAAGCTCCAAATACTGCTTTTTTGGAAAATAAAAATAAACGTTTTATTATTAATTGCTTAGACATGTAAAGTGTTTATAAACCTAATATAATTGACTTTGGGTTACATAATGTTACTTTAGATATTGCCTTAGATGTATAAAAGGCGGGATTTTATGAACTTAGTTGCTATATTTTAATTAAACAACGTATATCCATGTCAGTTACAACGTTGTTTTCTGGAAATAGGGGTTGAACGTTGTTTTGTGTTTAAAAATAAAGCACTAGTGATAGTAAAAAAACGTGTTTATTAACTTAAATTTAAAACATCATTGGGTTGAGTAGGTAACTAAAAGTTGTAATTATTATACTCTTAAGATTTTCATAAAAATTTACATATTTTAATGGAATATATTCACACATATCTAAGGCACATACAATGTTGTTACACCAGAGTATGTAAGTGAAATAATTTTATTACTACTCTAAAATACGAATAGAAGCCCCTTATACTCCTACCACTTTGTTAGTTTATTATTTCGACCACATACAATGTTGTTCCATGAAAGACTCAAATGTGCCCATAGTGGCGGTTACAACGTTGTTCCAGCATAGCATTTAATTGGGGACGGCATTTCTAAAAATTACCTCTTCAAACATAAAGGAATCCTATTTTTAAATAAAGGGTACAAGACAATTAGAAAATGTAGCTAAAATAAATTATTAACTTTTTAACCACTTAAGTTCATTAATGTTAAAGGATATGTGATCATATTTCCTGAAATAATATACCTACGACAAGTGTTTTGTACACGTTGTAGCTGGTTTTGTGAGGTTTTATCAATGCAAGAGTAATAAACTATAATGCAGTAGTTTAGAACTGAGAAAACCAAAGATTCACAATTTTTTTTATGCATTTTGAAGTAAGTTATGCTTGTTGGTTTATAACATACGTATTCTTACATAACATCTTTTGAAGTAACATTTTAATATGGTCTTCGAATCTAAGTGATTGGTCTATGATTAATCCTAGATTTTTGGCTTTCTCAGAAAAAAATATTCTAACTCCACCCAACTGGAGCCTTAATGAAACTTTACTACAAAATAAGATTGCTGTGGTTTTAGATGGATTGACTGTTAAGTTATGTTTTTTGGAAAATTAAAAAATGGCATCTAAATCCATATCTATATTGTTATTGGTATTAGGAATAGCTGCAGGTTCAAAACAATGAACAGTCTGTGTATCATCAGCATACAATTGTAACTACTTTTGGCAACTCTGAAATATATATAAGGAAGAGCAGGGGCCCCAAAATGGATCCTTGAGGCACCCCGAGACAATAAATTTGGAATTTGAAAAGCTACCAATAAAAAAAATCTCTTTCAAGCATTTTCTGTTATACGGTTTTGCTTTTTCTGGTGTAGCCTTTATTCAATCTAGGTTTTGGATAAAAATTGTCAAAATAGTCTAATTTATGGCAAATGGGACAAAACTACTGAATAAAAAATGTTCTTATTTGAGGTTTATACAAACAATTTGGTAGCACATAAACCACTTTTCGACTTTTGCTTCCAATTTTACACTTTTTGTTCAAAAAACTTTTTTGCATATCAACCGTTTCTCAGGCACATAAAATGCTGGTGCAATATTATCTTGGATTAAAAAAAAACGAGTTTAAGCTATATCCCGAATTTTGTTGAAAAACGTAAATATCCGGTCACGAGGCCAAAAGGGATTTTTTTATTGGTATGTCCAGAAGTATATAAGTTAGCCAGCAAAAAAACGAAAAAATCCATCAAGCAATTTTACTTTAAATTTCACAGGTCACATGACTGCTCACACCACCGGGACATAGAGTTTCAAAATGCTACTGTTAAATGTGTCAAAATTAAAAAAATGAGTAAAAATACAATTGACTTAATTCCCTTGTTAAATAAATACTTTATTAGGCAAATCAAAAGTTAAATTGAATAGGTAATTTTAAAAGTACCACAAGTTAAAAAACAAAATATTATTTTTGTCTGCTAATGGTTTTAGTTCTAATTAAACTGATAAATGAATTATTACATTAAGGAAATATTCTTTACCTTTTTCTTGCTGGGCTTCTAGGCTAAATGTGGTAACGATAATACTTGATATAATCCATCTGATAATTTATTTTAATATTTATTTTATTATTCCTAATTCTCATTTCGTCTGTTTAGCAGTCTCCTTTTCAGTATGTGAATCATTGTGTTCTTTGTGTTTTAATTTACTGTCTGTTTATCTCCCTTTATTCCAGTTATCTCAAAATTTAAAATTGTTGACAAAAATGTCAATTAATCAATGTTTCAAAGACAATTTTTCAGAAAATCAATATAGGTCCAGTGTGTGAATTTCATTTGGTACTTTATGCATAAACTGTACAAATAATGATAAACAGAATCGTTTTTATTAGGTTAATAATGAGGATTGAAATTTTCGTCAACAATTCCATTATCTCAATAATTGTGCCAAACTATTAAAATTAAGATTTTTTTAAATTTATATGAACGCCATACTTAATAAAAAATTGATCTCTAAGTTCGATTATTTTTTTTTTAAATATTAGTAGCTTGTTTGTATTCACTAGTTTAAACATTTTTTTATAATCACGATTTTACTCATTAAAAGATTTTTTTATTAATTCGTTTATTTCTATTGATCCTGTATATTAAAAAATCGACGAACTGATATTACAACATCCTTTAGGACGTTAGCCAATGAAATGCAGACAAATATAAGGAATGAGAAACTTTTTATATTGATAAGAGGAATACATTTTCTATAAAAAGCCAAAAAAATGCAAAAAAATCGAAAAACTTGTACAATTTTGAAATAAAAAATACTGTACAACATTCTAATGCTAGTTATGATTTTAGGTCTTTAGATAGAAAACGTGCCTATTAGGCAAGTCGAACATGACTCTGAACGTCTCTTACTCTGTATACTAATATGACAGTCAGATTTATTGTTTGCAAACGCCCCACCAAAAAACGTAACATTACCAAGTTACTTTCTGTTTTTCCTTACATTCTTCACTCTGAATGGCATAAATAGAATATCAAAAAAATGTTGCCAAAGACCTAAACAGGTCTATAATTGTGGCATTAGAAGAACATGAAGAGTGGATAGCATGCATTGACAACAGTAAAAAAATATAAAAATATATTCGGTCTTGACTTTCATCAAAAGTATATATTCCATTACAAAACAAAGAAGGTTGAAGTTACTCGCAAAATAATTTCGAAAGGACTGAACTTCTGGCAAAGTTTTTCTCCAATGAACCATCCCAGGATCAATTACCAGATAGCTTACTCGTAAGAATCCCTTCTTCGTTAGAATTGCTCAACTTTACTTGTCAAACGTCGCCTTCTGACATTAAAAAAACAACTGTACTGGTCTAAATTCTACTCCAAATTTCTCCTCTATTTTTTAAAAAGTGCTCT